TCTGACTCAAAAAATATATATATACTACCTGGGGCTGGGCATGGTGGCTCATGGCTATAATCCCACCACTTTGGGAGGCCGAGGCAGAAGGACTGCTTGAGTTCAGGAGCTCGAGACCAGCCTGGGCGACACAGCGAGACTTCGTCTCTACCAAAACAAATAAAAAATTAGCAGACGTGGTGGCATACACCTGTAGTCCCAGTTACTTGTGAGGCTGTGATGAGCCATGATTGCATTGCTGTACTCAAGTCTGGGTGACAGAATGAGACCCTGACTCAAAGTTTTTAAAAAAGTGTATCACTTGGGAGTGATTCTTTTCTTTGGATTCTTCATGGGTCTACACGAGCTATTGGGGGTAGTTCTGTGACAGGCACAGCTGACACGGATTAGCCCTTACTGCTGTTCTGCGAAGACTAATGGGGTTGGCACCCATGCTATCTGGATTTTGAGTCTGTGTCCACAGTTGATAACCTCACAGGAAGATATGACACTCTCCTTCTGGGCGGTTGCCTGACATGGAGACACCTCACAGTGAAGTCAGAGAAAAGACACCAAAATAATTTTGCTAGAGATGTCCTATATACATATATATAATATTTTATTTTAAAATGTCATTGAGCATATACATTTCTTTTGCCTTTACCAGGGGACATTGCACCTAAGTTTCAAAACACACAAAATAGATCCCCTTTGCTAAACAGCTTTCATTTTTGGGTTACAAAAAAGTCAATGTTTCACAATCACAAAGCATAAAGGTCCGTGGTTCTGGAAATGCTTCCAGGCAGACTGTTCTCACTCATGGGACATAGGGTGGTTCTGGAAACCCGGACCAAGATACATTCCTCACAAATGATCTCCCCCACGGGTCTCCAGAACAAACAAAGAAAACCAGGGGTGGGCTGGGGGCGGGTAGCAAAACAGGAGTCAACAGAGTGACCTCAGGACTCCGGGAACAAACAAAATACTTGCGGGAGGGCGGAGCACATGGGTCTCTTTCTTCAAGTACATCACAGGAGAGAACAACAGCACAATGACAGCCTTATTTGGTCACCGTCTACCTGGTAGCTACATGAACGAAACTTCACCTAAGACGCGGAGGAGAAATTAAAGCTATTTACACAGATAACACTGTGGATTGGAAAGAGCAGTCCTCTCCAGACCAGCAGCTAATGCACAAGCAGCCACGGTGCTCACGAGAGGGGGGTCAGGCTGCCCACGTAGTGTCCTTTGAGAAATTCCAGTGTCCACACAGGTGCCACATTGTCCAACAAAACCAGCGTCTGCTCAGAGAAGTGGGCCAGGGTGTGCAGGCTGCAACATCTCTCTGCAACTGAATCCTCAAAAATCCGAGTTTCTATCATGATTCTGTCTCATGGCCAGAGCCCATTTACTAGGTTCTTAGATTGGATGACTTGCAGGGCCAGCCTGGTTGTTCTTTGCACAGACAAGGATTCTCACTGATTTCTCCGAGTGTTCCAGAAGCATTCACTCACTGAAAATAGAACCTCATCAGAACCTCGCATATTCACTCTGAGAACACTCTGGGTCACTTAGGGGAGGGTCAGATCCTCAAAAGATGGGAAGAAATCACTGGCCACGTGTGGCCTCATGGAGTTGACTGGCAGATAAGGAGGGAGTGGGGAAGCAGAGGTCAAGAGGAAACTCTGGCTTAAAGATGGGGGAGTGTTTTCCCAAGTGTTTCCACACCAGTGCTTTTGGTAAACTGGACACCCTGCCCAGATCACCAAGATCAGAGGCTGAATCTGGGTCCCAAGACCCTCACTCTTGCCCGCCGATACCTGCCGTGGCTGTCATTGTTCTCAAGAAGTACACGAGCACTTAGAAGAGTAAGAATAGGGTGTCTGTGACTGACTTCACAAGGCTACACAGAAGGAAGTTGCTAGGAATTCAAAAAGTCAACACCCCAAATCCTCCAAAACTGAACACTGTGGCCAGTAACTGAAATCCCCACTTTTGGGGGCTCTGTCTGCTGAGTACTTGGCCTAGCCAGTTCTCCCCCTTCCTTTCCCACCTCAAGAACAGCAGTTAGGTTTGCACACACACAGGAGACAGAACACACCTCCATCTCTGACTACCGACAGGGCTGGCATCAGATGTCATGAGAACAAAGCTTTCTCTGTCTAGCAAAACGCCATGGAACGTGGATGGGCTGTGAGTGTGCTCTCTTTAAGGAAAAGAGTTCTGCCTAATGGACTGAGGGGCAGGGACCAGCCCAACTAAGAGATCTACAGCTAAAAAAGTCTTTCACTAAAGAAAGTGGCCACCCCCCGCAAGATGACCATAAACACTTGACTGGGAAATAGAAAGCTTATTAAACAAGACTTCCTCCGGGGCGGTCCGGGCAAGCAGATTTGGCTCTAACTCAAATACAGACGATTTTGGAACCACGTATAAATACGTTCTGCGGAATTCTTAAGTGTGTGTATCTTTTGACCTTTCCAGGAAAGCTCTGAGGGCCAGCCTGTCACGTAGACACAGCTCTCATTTCGGGATGGGGTGACTTGGGATCTGGTGAAATACAAGACCAAACCCGAGTAAGCCCAACTCACAGAGCAATTTCAGTGCTGGGCAGACCCTCAGTGGGCCAGGACAAGTCACTTTTCCCACTTATTTATTTCATTGGTATTCTTCCTCCCATCCCCCTAACACAAGCATGGCCTTTATCTTGCTACTAAGATCGTTCCAGCCAAGGGGGCTTAGGAAAAGTATTCCCTGATGCCTTTCTAACCAAAGCCAGCAGATCTAGGTACTCAAGACTTTAGGATATTCGGGATGAGGGCTTTCAGAGTTTTTCCTGAGACATGCCTTGGCAGTAGCTGTGTTGGTGAACTGAGCAGAAGGCTGTCATGATATCTATAATTCTGACTCTGGCGACTTGAATCAAACCAGAGGAGCTCAAGGTAGGGCCCAGATCGAGGCCCAGGAAAGGAGGGAATTGAAAGGCAATGGGAATGCAGGGAGGAGACCCAAGAAGGGACTCAAGGGCCTCCATGACCGGCTTTGACATGACTTGGAGAGTCGGGACAGGAGGAGAAAGGGGGTAACACTGCTGTAGGATGTCTGGAGGTTTTCAGACTCCACCAGGGAAGCAGAAGGCTTACCAAAGACTTCTCCTCCCAGCAACGCTTGGGAACGCTGCGATTTACCGAGGGAGGAGGAAACGCCATCAGATGAAGAAGATGCCCAACAAGGCAGGAGTCCAGTTCTTCCCAGGAGACACGTTGGCCAACCCCTGGTGGTTTGAAGTCCCACGTCACCTGCCAGATGGCATTGTTGCTACAGAGTGGGGTGAGTTCATTCCTGAGTAGGAAGGCCCCAGGCCTTTTCATATCAATAAACCACACCTCCAGGGGCGGGATTTAGTGCCCTGAAGGATGGCCTCCTCTCCTCCCCTCTGGGGAAGACATTCAAACACCCATGAGAACTGGAGTGAGCTCTCTAGCCTAGTCATTTCTGGGAGTCTCATCAATGGCCTTTTTCTTTACCAGGGGGCGGGTGGTGTCAGAAGAGTGTTTTAATTACACAAAGTTGTCAACGTGATAACCAGTCTCAGCAGCTCTGAAGGAAGAAGACTGGGCGATGAGAGGGTGTTCTACAAGGCCCCCCAGTGCAGAGCTGCCACCTGCCTCAGGGCCAGAGGGATTTCGAGAATCTACCTTGCCATTCCTCCTGGCAGAGTGGCAGCAGGTGGGCATGGCGTCCACTGATGCTGCTCTTGTGAGGAACCCTTCAAGGGGGAAACACAGTGGGAATGGGGGTCTTGGTTCTGGGGCGGCTAGGATGTGCTTCTCCAGAGAAGGAAGGGGACACACACGAGTACGACCAGGCGACACGATTCAAATCCTCCTTTATTGCAGGGCCACTGGGTGGGCCTCGCACACAGATGCTGGGAGAGAACGGCTGCTCCCTGTTAGAACTCTGACCCTCACACTCTGTTTGGGGTGGCTTTAGGGACTGTCATAGCTCATGAAACCTGAATCCAAAATCATCCTCAGATGAGGTATGGTGAACCGATGGATGCAAGGAACTTGCTAAGCTGCCTTGTGACACTCTGCTCTATGTCCCCACGACCCAGTGGGCCAACCATTCCAGAAGTGAAAACCCAGGCCCACAGAGAAACCTCAAGCCACACAAGGAAGACCCCTTAAAGACAGTGGAGAGACCGCTGGCCCAGAGGAACACCCACATTTTCATAAAAGCACACTGATTCGGTGAGAAAATGCAGCTCAGGAACAAATGTGACACAACAAAGACACACTCTGTCATGCAGGGCACTGTCCCAGATGGCTGCCTTGGCCGTGGGGGAGGCTATGGGGACAGCCCAGCCTGGGTGGGACTCTGACACAGAAATTCCTTAGCAGGGAGTTGGAAAGTCCCAGTCCTGTCCTATGGGGGGGAAAGGAGGGGGAGATTCAAGGAATGTCACAAAAGAAAAAGTCCCTGCCTCACCCCACCACAAAAGAAGTTAAGAGAAGGAGGGAGGGAGGGTGGGGGGAGCGAGAGGGGGAGAGAGAGAGAGGAAAAGAGAAGAAGATGGGGGGGCAGAGGAAGGAAGGAGAGAGAGAGAAAGGGAAAAAGGAAGAGAGAGAGGGAGACCAGGAAAGGGAGAGAGAAAAAAAGAGGGAAAGAGAAAATGAGAGAGAAAGGAATGGCGGGGGGGGGGGGGAAGAGAGAGAAATAGAGGGAAAAAGAGAAGCAGGGAAGGTGGAAGGGAGGAAGAAAGAAGGGGCAGGCGGCAATCCCTGAAATAAATCTCGGGCTTGCTAGAAGGTGGGCACTTACACTTTGTGGCACGGCCGCCAGCTCTCTCATGCAGTACATTTTAACCCGTAGAGAAGCTGGCAGCTGGACAGCCTGGAGAGTCTTCTGCCAGTTACATCTGAAAACGGCTGCCCCAGCTACTCTGGATCAAATAAATATGACGCACATGCCCCAGATAGGCAGCAGGCCTACAAAAGGAACTAACAGCAATACAGCACTCAGTAGCAGCCTTTGTATTTTGCCCGTGTTAAGTTGCCCTGTTACTAAAGAAGAAGACATGGAAACCAAAGGGTCATCGTGAAGCAGAGCTGGGGGGCCCTTGGCAGCAACTCCCCTCCTGGGCGGGGAAGAGACCTCAGTGCTTGGACCTCAGCCGGGGCCCCTCCTGGTGCGGCTCTGCCAAGAGGCATCCCGGTTTTCCTTCCCCTCTGTCCTCCCGATCCCCTGGGGCCATTCTCATGACAGTTTGTTTCCATGTATTAAAGGAATGACATAAACAGAAATGTCGTCTCCCGAGCCCAGTCGGTCATTGGATATCCGCCATCCTCTGTCCTTCAGCACACCCCGGGCACGCATCACCAGGTCCTGTGCTGCCAGTGTGTACCTGTATAGGAGAGGCAGGAAAAAGGCAGTCAGCTCAGCATTGGGGGCAGGCGAGACTGGGAAGAAGGAGGCATCACTACAGTTGTAGAAACACATTTTGGGCCAGGTGGTGACTCCAGCCTGTCATCCTAGCACTTTTGGAGGCCAAGATGGGCAGACTGTTTGAGCCCAGGAGTTTGAGATCAGCCTGGGCAACATAGCAAGATCCTGTCTCTCCAAAACATTTTTATAAAGTAGTTGGGTATGGTGGTGTGTACCTGTAGTCCCAGTTACTCGGGAGGTGGAAGAGGATTGCTTGAGCCCAGGAGTTGGAGATTGCAGTGAGCTGTGATTGTGCCTGCCCTCCAGTCTAGGTGACAGACTGAGACCCCAAGTCAAAAAAGGAAAAAAGTTTCATATACTCTTACAGTAGAAAAAAGGTCTAAGTTATTTTTTCTCAAAATGTGGGATGTCAAATGTGAGATTGTTTTGTAGAAGGTAGTGGAACAAGGCACTAACTATATTAAATGATCTCCTAAATTATTCCACTCAGTGCTGTCATATCTTAACAAAGACCTGCTAGGGCTGAGAACTTCCCGTGGCAAACAGTATCTAACTAGAAAAGTATGTGGGAAAGAGAAGAACATTTGTTTGCAATCTCCTTATTTTTAGGGCTACATTTCTTTTGTGACAAAAGATGGCCATTTTCCATTTACGGTAGGGATAAATCACCTTTGAAAATAAAATTTGTTTTTAGAAAGTGAATTGACTTGGCTGGGTGTGGGTGGCTCACGCCTGTCATCCCAGCACTTTGGGAGGCAGAGGCTCTCAAATCCAGGGGTTCGAGACCAGCCTGGGCAACTTGGCGAAACCTCATTTCTACAATAAATTTTAAAAAATTAACCAGGCATGGAGGCACATGCCTATGGTTCCAGCTATTTGGAAGGCTGAGGCAGAAGGATCACCCGAGTTCAGCAGGTCAAGGCTGTGGTGGCCATGAGCATGTCACTGCACTCCATCCTGGGTGACAGAGGGAGACTCCGACTCAAAAAAAAAAAAATATATATATATATATAACAAGAATGGCAAAGGGCTTTCTTGAGCCTTGGGATGGATGAGCTGCTTGGTCATCCTTAGCAATGCTACTTCTTCCTCTTGACCAAAGTAAGTAGAGCCAGGAATTTGAAAATAAGATTGCTCATTGAGACTTAAACTGTATCTTTAAAATATTTATTTATGTATTTGTCAGATGGAGTCTTGCACCGTCACCTAGGCTGAACTGCACTGGCGTGATCACAGCACACAGCAGCCTCAAACTCCTGGACTCAAGTGATCTTCCCATCTCAGCCTCCTGAATCACTGGGATTTACAGGTGTGTGCCACCACGCCCAGCTAGTTTAAAAGAATAAAAAATTATTTGTAGAGACAGGGTCTCGCTATGTTGCCCAGGCTGGTCTCAAACTCCTGGGCTCAAGCGATCCTCCCCCCTTGGCCTCCCAAAGCGCTGGAATCACAGACATGAGCCATGTTGTCCAGCCAGGTTGAAACTGTTTACTGAAGGAAAAAGAATGATGCGATAAGCTGATGGAAGTATTAATATCTGGAGAAATACTCATATGGGAGGTGATTTGGGCGTGAACCTAAGTTAACCTTGAGGCATAAAAAAAGAGACAAAACATTGATAGGCTGCTTATCCAAATAATGATCAGGACAGAGAGAGTCTTAGTCGATGGACTTCAAAGAAACTTGGCCCCACTGGCCGGGCCCTGTTTGGTGTGGGATGGGTTATTATTCTCTTAGCCCTAATCACACATATGATTCACCTTGTTCTGATTTCATGGCCACCAAATAACCTTCTGATTACAATCTGACTCCCTGTGGAGGCCTGCCTACAGAGAAAGAATGAGCCAGTCATCTGTGCTTTCAGAATATCCATCAGTGACATTCTGTCACCTAGCATTTTGGTTTACAGATCAATCTTGTGAACTTGGTTAAGGTGAGCCCTGCTCTGATCACGAATCTCTTCTTTGTATCTTGATTAGATCAGCTTCTGAACCTGAAAAGCTAAGAGCAGTCTGGTCAATTAGCAAGATAATAAATGTCACCTTAGAAGGCCTTTTGGAAGCCGCCTGTGGACCTTTTACAAGAGACCGCCCTGATACTGCTGGTGACCCCTCCTTGGGATGTCCCAGTCTTGTCTTCAGAGCTGTGAGTGAGAACTGCAGAAGCCTCCCTTAACAATTAACAGACTCTCACGTTCAGAGAGACCTGCATGGAGCCCTGCCGTTTCATGATTTAAGAACCAGGGCTGTAACAATTGATCTCAGATCTGTGAGGATGCCGAGTTGTACACAGTCTTTAAGAATCAAGTTTATTCATGCAGCCCAGGCAGCCGGCAGAAGTGTAGCAGCGTACAAGAAGAAAGGATATTATGGTCCACACGATATAAATACATTTCCTTCTAGAAGATGGGTAGTTGGTGAGTGGGAGAGACACCATCTTTTTCTCTCTGTAGCGAGAAAATTTTCGACTTTGAGGCAGAACTCTTTAAGTTATGCTTCAGGAATGATGCAACCAGGTAGGCCTCTCTGAGGGTTCCTTCTCCTGAGATCAGAAATGAACAGGAAGACCTCCACATATGGAGGGCTTCAAAGAGGCCTTTGGCTGAAAAGTCACATAAATGTCTTTACATCCGCATACTGCCACCTGTACATACTCACATGACAGGAAGAAGACCCCTTGGATGCTGGCCCAGGTCACCCTGAGCTTTCTTTCTTTTTTTTTTTTGAGTTGGAGTCTCACTCTGTCACCCAGGCTGACGTGCAGTGGCACACTCATGGCCACTGCAGCCTCGACCTGTTGGGCTCAGTTTATCCTTCCACCTCAGCCTTTCAAGTAGCTGGAACTACAGGCATGTGCCATCACGCCTGGCTAATTTTTCTTGATTTATTGTAGAGATGAGGTCTTGCAAAGTTGCTCAGGCTGATCTTGAACCTGTGAGCTCAGGCAATCCTCTCACCTCGGCCTCCAAAAGTGCTGGGATTATAGGCATGAGCCACCATGCCCGACCCACCCTTAACATTCTATTAAGGCATACATCTGAATAGAAATATGCAGGTAAAGGTCTTTCAGGGTGACGCTTCTTACCCTGGTGACGGACCAGGCTCTTGAACCTTAGTTTTTGGCATTCGGGAACCTGACTGTGTAGATACATGGAGGTGACTCGTCTATCAGGGCTGAACACACTCAAATGCAGTCTCTGAGCAGACCAGATGTAGCGAATTAAGGTAAGCTCTGAGAACACACGGCTGAGACAAAAGATACTCAGTCCTTTTGTGGTTCATAAGCGTGATGGTTGGGTTTTCACACTCCTCCCTCCCTCAAATCTTGTTTTGACATGATGTTAGCACATGACCCATCAGATGTGGAGAAAACAAAAGATAGTTGTCTGTCATCCCAGCCCTTTGGGAGGCCGAGGTGAGTGGATTGCCTGAGCCCGTGGATTCGAGACCCGCCCGGGTAACTTGGCGAGACCTCGTCTCTACAATAAATCAACAATTAGCCGGGCATGGTAGCGCGCGCCGGTAGTTCCGGCTATTTGGAAGACTGAGGCAGAAGGATCACCGGGGCCCAGCAGGTCCAGGCTGCGGTGGCCGGGAGCATGCCACTGCACTCCAGGCTGGGTGACAGAGTGAGACTCCAACTCAAAAAAAAGATGCTCAAAGATGTCAAAAGAACAGACACAAGAATCAAGACACAGCGCTCTGTGGCCGTGTGAAGCTAGTGGCAAATAGGTCTCAGTAGGTCCTGCAGACATGGAGAAATGACTGGGGCTCAAAACCAAGTTAGATGACGTCTAACTGGCTTTACTCAAGTTGTAAAGGACTGTCGTCATTAAAGGCAAGAGGCCACCCTGAGATTGCTATTGCTGGCAATTTGGGGTATTTTTAAGATGGTCACAGTTAGCTTTAGTATTTTGAAAGCAAGCATTGGGTCACCTGAAAAAGATGGTTACCCAGGAAACTCATTTCCCTGAGGGCTCTAGATAATTACGTTTTCATTCTTCAACGTGGCTATAGCCTATTCCAAGATACCTTCCTCGGAGATGGTGTCTCTTCACTATTCACTTTGTCTTCCCTTAGGTGCTGAACGTCCTCAGAGAAAAGTCCACACTTGCTTTCTTTATTTCTTCCTTCCCATTTTCTTCCTTAGACTCTTACCAGTAGGCCCACCACCCACTATGCTGTCTTTTTTTTTTTTTTTTTAGAGACAGGGTCTCACTCTGTCACCCAGGCTGGAGGGCAATGGTGTGAACATAACTCACTGGAGCCTCGAACTCCTAGACTCCAGTGATCCTCTTGCCTCAGCCTCCCGAGCAGCTGGGACTACAGGTGCACACCACTGTGCAAAGCTAATAAACTTTGCATTATTTTAAGACTATTTTATTAATGGCACATGGCTAATTAAAATAAAATATTGCTGGGTTTGGTGGTTCAGTCTTTCATCCCAGCACTTTGGGAGGCCGAGGCGAGTGGATTGCCTGAGCCCATGGGTTTGAGACCAGCCCAGGCAACTTGGTAGGACTTCGTCTCTACAGTAAATCAAAAATTAGCTGGGTGTGGTAGTGCATGCCTGTAGTTCTGGCTACTTGGAAGGCTGAGGTGAAAGGATCTTCTGAGCCCAGCAGGTCGACACTGGGGTGGCCATGAGTGTGCCACTGCACTCTAGCCTGGGCAACAGAGTGAGACTCTGAGTCAAAAAAAAAAAGAGAGAGAAAAAGAAATAAAATGATTTTCTCCTCCTGAGAGTTTTGCCTTCAGTCATCAGCACTGGAGTGTCACAAATAAGTCAGTTTCAGGCCACAGGCTCTCACCACGCCTTAAAGGCTTTAACAGTGCTATCTGGGGGAGACAGCCTCTGCCATTTGGTGGGTGAAGGGTGCAGGCAGGCTCTTCTAAGAGGGAGGGTAGGTGGCAGGAACCGGGGAATTAATGGCTTCCAAATTTTTACATGTAAAAGGCA